TTGGGACTCATAACAGGGTTTACTAAGTGTCTTGCAGGTTTTGTTGATAGTCCTTAATTGGGACTCATGACAGGTTTTACTTGAGTTTCTTGCAGGTTTTGGTTTGCAGTCCTTAATTGGGACTCATAACAGGGTTACTTACATTACCCCGTGCATAGCATAACATCATACCATTGCATACATACTAATCCATTTCAAGGATCTCAAGGGCTTGTGATGCAGGTCATGGTGAATCAACTATCCCAGCAAGGGGCAAAGAGGATTTATTTTCCTCTAGACAAAGTTGTCAGGGGCTATAACCCACTGGATATGGTGAGCCTTTGACCCTTGAAGAAGGACTCTCAGCAAACATGAAGTTCCCTCAATCAAGCTACCTAGTTCTAACAATTTTTGTTTACCCCGCGAGATCCTTGAAAACATTGCATATATATCATACATATCATTGCATTACAGGTACCCTTGTTGCAGGTCACTTACCCTTGTTCGCTGTTTATTTCAGCAATGGCTCCCCAACAAGATAACCAGGACCTTCACACTCAAGAGACTCAGTTCAAGGAGATCTTCCTAAGCCTATCCAAGGGGCAGGAAGAGTTGAGGACACTCTTCATGGGGAATCTGATCAGAAAGAGTCCTGAAGATGACAAGGACGAATAGCTGAAACGTCTACAAGCTAAGGTAGACACATTGAAAACCCAGATGCTGGGGCAAAGGGCCCTCATTCAAGGTTTAGCTCAGGAGCAAGGAGAGCTGAGGGCCATGATCAGTCAGCTTCCTCAAGGCATGAAGCAACCAGCCCAAATCAGGGACCAGGTCATGGAACAGCTTCCAAGAGGGCAAAGGTCGGGTCCAATGAATAGACCTCTCCGAGTTGCTACTACTTCACAGGTCCAACAACGACCTCGCCAAGAACAGCGGGTTGATCAGAACAGGTCGGACGAGCCTAAGAGACAATTCACCAACATCAACATGCCATGGTCACGAGCTTTGCAGCACATGTTAAGGATGAAACTGATTACGGTGATCAACCCTCCTGCAAATCCAAAGACTTCCTCTCCAAATTACAACCTAGAAGCAAGGTGCGCTTACCATTCTGGTAGCCCGGGGCACGATACTGAGGATTGTTGGGCACTGAAGTACAAGATTCAGAACATGATCGATGCTAAAGAGATCGAGTTCAAGCCCGCCGAGACTCCCAACGTGATCGCTGCTCCCTTGCCAAAACATGGCTAGGATTGAGAAATTTTTGTTCATTCGAATGTTCAAGTTGCAATTTTCTTTTGTTCAAACATTTACTCATGTTAAACATTGTTATTTCATTAATGCATCGCATATGTCTGTTCTGAAACAATATATTCGTATTCACTAAATGCAAATTATTTTCATATTTTTTCTGATGATCAACTCTTAATTAATAATTCTAAGCCTCTTGAGGGAGGATGACGAAAACAATACCACGATCTTTACAGTATGCTTTTGAACAGACCCCGCCGATGAGGTACAGGCATTGTTTCAATCCCCAAACACTGGAGTTATAAGGAAGATAATCCCTCGTCAACCCCTCTGAGCCAAAGAAGTAGGAGTTTTTCTTTTCGAAATTTAAAACCCTTAATCATAACCTGGGGCAGGGTAATCTCTCAGTTGATCCAAGTGCATAACGAATGGCACCAAAGAGGTCCTTACAAAACAAAGGAAGACAGTGATGGTTCCGAATAATCAATAAAGAAAGGCAGTCATTATCTCAAAAAATAAAAAACCCATTAAGTCAAAACCCATGAAGGAGACTTACAAAACTGGGGCATCCCGCTGACTGTAATTCCAAAAAAGGAAACAGTTCAGGCAAAAAAGAAAGGGATAACAAAAATCAGACAAGAAAGAGGTCTTACAAACCCTCAACAAAAAAGGAATGACTGCCTATTCAAAATAAGTTATCAACATCCGAATCATCACCGGAAAATCAGAGCAAAGACTCAAACAAGGTCTAACGTATGATCAACTGAGTTTAGGTTTGGAGAACATCACGAAGAGCGGGTGGGTACAAATAAAATTTGAGCCTTTATCCTTTGTTTCTTAAACCGTGATGTAATACCCCAAATTTGTCCTACCCTTTTACTTTTATCTGGCTTACGCATTTTTACATTTTTTCTCACATTAGGTCATCTAACACATCATGCATCATTAATTGATAGATTGGCATAAGATCATGGATTCCGAGGAATAAGGGTTGGTGTATGGCTTTAAGGCTCCCATCTTCGCACAAGCTTGTTTCGGTTGATTTCTCCATCGATAATTTGTTTGAGGCTAGGTTTTCATTTCATGGACCTTATCATCATCAAGCTACGATGCCATTCTTTTCTTCTCAATGTCAAGTTGCAAGGTTTTATGAGACGAAGCTAAAAATCAAGGTTTATACATTTTCATATTTGAGCTTGTCAGCATTCTACCTGAGGTTCATTCCATATCAAGGTATTCGCACGTCTCATCTTTCATATTCATCTGCAAAAAATCCCTCAGGGCATAGTCATTATCATCTATTGAAAAGGGGTCCAAGACGTCGTTGTTCTAGTGCTCATATAGTCGGGATATGGTACAAGATGTTGATTATGATCAAGGTGTCATTATTTCAAATGCTTATTGCTTGATACACAAGTTTGGTTTATACTGAGGAATTGAATTGAATTAGGGGTTCACTGAAGCTGTGGTTTGATTAGAATTCATTCATCAATATTTGAAGTGGATTTGGAATAATTGAAGTGGATTTGGAGAAAATCAAAGTTCTTAAATATTTGCGTGGTTTTTCTTGGAATTCAAACCACAAGTATAAAAAAGCATGTATCAAGTTCATCCAACCATCAAAATATTGTCCAAGTAGCCTCTCTTGGATTCATTCAAGATTCATGTCTCTTTTGGATACCTTGCAAATATTTTGGATTCATACCATTTATTTGAATTCATACAAAGGCCACTTCATTATGTGGAAATAAAGTCAACATACATTACAATTATTCAAATACATACAAGTCCAAATTCCATTTACAATTATACATAACATCTATACATTTTTTACCAAAGCCTATCCTAATTTTCAATCATTCTCCATGTTCCAAACTTCAAGCTTCCATAACATCGCAAAGTAATCTCCATGCTTGATGCCCTTATGTCTTGAATTTCTTCACCATGTTTTATTCACATCATCTATGGCCAAACTTGCTGTTAAAACCATCTTCAATATACCTTTTCATCACATGCCCAATCCAAACCGCTATGAACCTGAAAATAGCAACAAAAACCTGATGATTCTTTGTTGGACGTGGAAGCCAAATGAAAATGAAAATGAAAATGAAAATGGGATGGAAGCCAATTGCTGGCAGATATCTTCTTCATTGGACGTGGAAGAAGTGCCATCAGGTGCTTTACTTATAGGCACAAAACTAACAGCACAACAACCACTTCTAACTGCAAAACAGAATAGTTATAGCATAACTAACAAATATCCAACACCATTTACAATATCCAAAAAATATACTACAAAAATGAGAAATACATCTAAAGATGCACATTTGGCGACCAGTTGACTATTGACTCTTCACTTTGATTCTCATCATTGCTTTCTATGTGGCCTTATCTTGTTTGCAATGCAGCTTTAGTTTGATTCTATCTTCATTACCTTCTTCATGACCAAATCTGCATATCATAACCTGCCATGATTTAGGCCTGCTGTTTCAATCCAAAGCAATCCTTGCACATTTATACAAACAAAAAAAATTAACATTTCCAGTAACATTAGTTCAGCCAAAACAGTACTACATCAACCAATATTCGTCTATATACAGTTTAGCATAACAGAAAATGGTGATATGGTGATAGAGCTAACAGAATTTCTAACAGCATAACTAACAAATATCCCAACCATATTCAGTAACCAACTCCTAACATTCAGTAACCAAATTCTAACCAACTAACATAATCTCTAACAATAAAAAACAGAATAACTAACTACCTCCTAACCACTTAACCAACTTCTAACCAACTTTCACCATCACCTTTGATCAATAACCAACTCTAACAAAATTTCAGCATATATATAAATAGAGTTCACAGCATATGCATGAAAAAAGAGATCACAAATAGAAGAGGGAGGGACAGAATAGAGAGAGGAATTTCAACACAGAAAATTTTTTATTACCTCTCAATCATCTCGTTCTTCAATCATTGAAAAGAATCACCACAATCATAACTCTGCAGAAAATCAGAATTTCTCTCTGCACTCTCTCTAAAACCGCACCATCACCATCACCATAACCTTCTGCTTCAACCTTCACAACTGCAATCGTTTCACTCGCATCAACCTCCATCATCATCTCCGAACATCACTGCATCTACAACAACAACACTTTGTTGCATCACTGAATGAATTGAAGATGAACGAAGACATGGAGACGCGGAGACGATTGCTCACGGTCGTGTGCGACAAATCTGAGAAGTTAATCGAAGGAGATCACAAATAGAAAAAGAGGAGGGCAGAGGGGATTCATTATCCAGAAAACAAAAACTCATGGGGAAAAACGAACCTCTAAATTATTATCTTAAACATTCCTCTGCAACTCTCAAGAACATAATTCTTCAAGCATCCTTATCTTCAATCTTCAAGAGCACAACAAATCACGAAGTGAAGAATCAAAACCGCAAAACTAAAGCGAAAGAGAGAAGAAGAAATGAGTGTAGACTACTACAAAATCTTGCAGGTTGATAAGAACGCAAAAGACGAAGAATTGAAGAAGGCTTACAGAAAACTTGCCAAGAAATGGCACCCTGATAAAAACCCAACCAACAAGAAAGATGCAGAAGCTAAGTTCAAGCAAATTTCTGAAGCTTATGAGGTACTTAGTGATCCTGAAAAGGGAGCAATCTATGATCAATATGGGGGAGAGCTCACAGCATAGGCATAGAGGCAGACCATTATATAGATACGATTTCAACAGAAAAAAGATGGGGATTACCTCTCAATTTCCCAGAAGAATCACCGCCATCATCAAAGCCGGAATCATCTTCACAATCATTAAAGCATGAATCACCTTCAAAGATTCCTCAAACGAAACAACTTCTCCATCGCCATTTTCATCTCTCTGCACCTCACTTCTAACACACACAACAACAACACATACAGTAGCAAGAAGTAGACGAAGAAAAGGAATCGGAGCAAAGCGGAGAAGACCGACGGAATCGCGAAGAGAAGCGATGAAAAAGGTCGCTAAGCTTGACGTTGAGTTGACGGTGGTGAGCGGAGGAAATCGCCGGAGAGAAGAAGAAGAAAACGCGAGGAAGGCGGAGGCGCCGCCGCTGCCGTTCGTGAAGGAGAGGGAGAGCCATTTTCATTCTAACCCTATTCCCTTTCCAATTTTCATACTTTTTTTCTTTTTTGTTTTAACTGATTTTATTATTCCATATTTTATTTACTTAATTCAAATTAATAATAATCATAATTAAGCAAATAATAAATAAAATGTTGAAAATCTTTTTGGACAAATTACTTCAACACCCATATTTCTAGACTTCATACCCCCTAACCCTTCTAAATTTTCTTTTCTTTTATTATTTTAGTTTTCTCTTCTAATTTAATTTTTTTAATCAATAATAAAACAATAAAAAAATAGAATATTTTTAGAATAGAATTTCTTTTTAGAATTTCGATTAGAATTTCTTCTATTTTATTTTTCATATTCGATAATCATTTTATTGACTTTTTTAGTCGAGATTTTTGTGATAGCATTGATATAACTCTTGCAATGTGGAATGTTCGGGGTGAATTCTTCAATTACTCGCCCAAGGAAACTTTGATAGAATTCTCTTACCGCTTGCACAATTTTGAAGAGGCAACGGACCTCCTCCGTTCTGTATTGTCGCAAATCTACCTTATTCTTCATTTTCGTACTTTATCGTAATTCAAACATGCTAACATTAGGTAGAAATTTCCCCTTTAACCTAAATCTTATGGTTACTAACGCACGATAACATTAGGTTTAGAAGTAGGCTAGTCCCATTTGACTTTTCTTTTTTGAACATTCACACTTAAAACAAAAACTTCTTTTTCTTTCAAAATTCAAAATACTTTAAAACTATCGATGAGAATCATGCTTTTGCTTAGTACGGGGAATGATAAGCGGGTCTCTTCTCGATTTTATTGTTCTTCATATCAAGCATAGGTGTGGTTCAATTCTCAAAGACTCCTTTCATGACTAAGTAGAAAAATGGCTAATATCTCTCTCTTGAGGTCAATCAGTCATCATCTACAACAAAAAATACAAAACAAATTCAAATCTTTTGTGCGCTCGAGCACTTTTCTTTTAAACCCTTTTCAGGTAAGGACATGATTAATTTACTTCTGTGCCAACGCATAAGTCTCCAAAGGTCGAGCTGCGGCAGAAGGCGGAATTAACTTCGTCCACAAAAAATACAAAACAAATTCAAATCTTTTGTGCGCTCGAGCACTTTTCTTTTAAACCCTTTTCAGGTAAGGACATGATTAATTTACTTATGTGCCAACGCATAAGTCTCCAAAGGTCGAGCTGCGGCAGAAGGCGGAATTAACTTCGTCCATAAAAAACACAAAACAAACACAAAATGTGAGCCGAACTACGGTAGCTCTGATTCCTTAAAAAGGATACGTAGGCATTGGGGTAGGGCCCAGGCGAGCACAATTTTATTTTCCCTACATTCTTTTCCCCTTTCTTTTGCATGCATTCCTCCAGTAGTATAGTAAACAATAAGCATAGATTAAACACACCCATAAGATAGACAACAAGAGTGGATACCGTAGAGTACTACGGGCGTGTGGGGTGCTAATACCTTCCCCTCACGTAACAGACTCCCTTACCCGATCTCTCGGTCGCAAGACCGTGACTTCTCCCTCATCAGGTTTTCTCGATGTTTACCTTTCCCTACATGTGGGATAAAAGACGTTCGATGGCGACTTCATTGTTTCGATGATTTTCAGCCGGTTGTTTCAGCTGGCGACTTTACTGGGGAATAGGTCGACCAAATGCTGGTCCATCCCGGAGTCGCTCCTAGTTCTTCTTCTCTTTCCTTAGGGTGTTTATTTTTATGCTTTCAGTTTACTCATTTGTACATGTTTGCATTGCATTTTATGGCTTTCCATACCTGTTATCTATTATGCTGGACTCTGTTTTCCATGTTGGGTGGGGATGTCACTTTTGAGGTAAAAGGCCCAGTACCCAGGCCAGAGTGCACTAGGACACCTAGGAATAGAGTGGGGGCATGACGGCTATAGGACATGGTCCGATTAGTGCAGTCATGTCATATACCACGCTCGGATGAGGTTCAAATGAATTACTATCGGCACCCACGTCTGTGGGCAAGCCCATAGCACTTTCAGGAGAACCCGTGATTTTCGAGTTACCATTATCTTACCCTGACCTAGTTTTCACCCGTGAGTGGGAAGGGAATTTTTGTCACAGGTACAGATGGTGACTGTGTTCAGATGGTTATTCAGGTACAAATGGTGACTACGCTCAGACAATGACTATTGATTCTAATGGCTATATTCTGGATTTCTGTTAAGACTTTATGCAGATGCTGTATCCTGTTGGTGACCGTGTGGTTCTCAGATTTATTTTCTGAGATCCTGACTTGTTTACCTGGAGGTTCATTCAAGCCTTCAATCTTGGTATTCCCAGCATGTTCAGAAATTCTCAACAGTATCCGATGTTCCATAAGCCTTGATCCCAGACAATGGGAGATCCACAGGGTACTTGGTGCTTATATATGCAGAAGTTATGTCGGACCTCTGATCTGATGATACTTACATGATCCAGAGCAGTGCAGCAACCTTATTCAGGAATGATGGAACCATGATCCTCTTTGATCTCATGCCTTTGCATACATAACATGGCTAACTGCATGCTTAACATACATGTTCTGTTATTTTCAAGGAATCATATTTGCAAGTCTTGTGCCAAAATTCTTCCATCCCTTACTTGCGCAAAAACAAAATCAAAGCACGCAAATTCCTTGGAAATGACAAAACATGACATGGCATTCATTCATACACTCCATGTATATTCATGCATCCATTACAGGTATCCGAAGATTGGGGATTCTTATTCAGACCTGGGGTTCTCTTCAAAGGCTCAACCTGGTTTCTCACCGCACGTGTTCAGGGACCAGTTATGGAATAACTCTGAGTGGTACATGCAAGCTTTGGCTCATAGTCAGAAACTTCTTTAAGCAGGAAGATAATGGATTAAAGATTCAGATAAGCCAGGTCATGGAAACTCTGATGATGATGTCTATTATTTCTTGGTGATGCATATTATACTGGGGCACCTGGCCAATCAATTGAAGATGGTATGTCATCCAAAGATAATGTCCAAGACTGGATCAATTCAGAGACTACTGTGTTCACATCAGATCTGATGGGGAATTCTCTCGCACACTCGAGCATCAAGACTACAGAAAGTCGTCAGAATCAGCAAGTCCATACGGAGTCAAGTCTCCTCAACAATGGAAATCATTGGCTTCTTTACTGCATTTTCATTTGCATTGTTGCTTGTTTGTTTAAACATTGCTTGTATATAGAAACTTGTCTATTTTTGAACGAAAATCTTAATGCAATAAATATGCTTGTCTTGAAGTATTCCTTTCATTTGTACTCATCCATTTGTTATCACTCTTTAAATGTTTTGCTTGCATATTGATGCCAGATTTCCTAGTTTTATGCTTAGGTAAAGATTCAAAGGAGGATGACAATAATCTGAAAACGCAAAATCTCTGGTTGGTACGCTTTTGAGTAAGACCCTGCTGAAGATGTACAGGCCTTGTTTCAAATCCCTAAACACTGGAGATATAAGGGAGATAGACCCTCGTCAACCCCTCTGAGCCTTCGAAGTAGGAGTTTCCTTTCTGCTCAGAAAAAACCCTCATTTCAACCCTGGGGCGGGTAGTGCTCAGCTAATCTGATCAAGCATTCAGAACTCATCAAGAGTGTGCATCCAAGGATACAACAATGGTTATCCATCAAAAGGTTGAGGAAAGTCAAAACCACAATGGTTCACCCTCATCTATCAGTAATGTGCATCTATTGACTATATCCCAATGGGTATCTCTCGCACATCAGGAGGTCAACAAATGACGATACTATACTGGTTATCCATCATCGACTAAAGACTCAGGCAGTCACGATCACTTCTGACAAATCAAAAATAACGCAAAGATCAACGACTTGTTCAAAATGGAAAATACGAATAAGAAAGAAACAAAAATCCCCGCTAAGTCAAAGCTTGAAAACAAGTCGCTTAGGCAAAAATTGGGGCATCCCGCTGGACTTCCAAATCGAAATTCAAAAGAATTTGTCCAGGCAAAAATTAGGGAAAACAAGAAGGAAATTGAATAAAGCTTAAAAGGCGAGAAAAGGATTACCAATGAAAATCCTCATCAAAGAACAAAGTCGTCTGATCAGACACCAAAATCAGGTGAAGTGACTGTCGTGTCCAAGAAACCACAGTGATTCCTCAATCATTGTAAACTCTTCTCGAGAGATGAATGCTTATATCAGGTTAACTGAATGTAGGAATGAAGAACATCACGGAGAATGGGTGGGCACCAAATAATTTTGAGCCTTAAATCCTTTTTCTAAAAAACCGTGAACCAGGCCACGTTACAACCCTTTCAAAGTCCTAACTGAAGCATGGGTCAATTTGAAAGCGTGCCACAACGAGATAGCGTTTAACCGACTCCTAAGAGGTACGTCCCAATATCTGTTTTGGCATCATATTCTTGCATTATCTTTCATAAAAAAGAATTTGCAAATGTTCCTCTCTAGCTAGTGACTCGTTCACAACAGAGTCGTGACGTTATTTCATTCAAAGTTTTTTCAAACTTCAAGACTTACATATGTGTTGCATTAGAATTATCATTCTCATAATAAACATTCTTCCGCATACAAAACAACTGATTGACATCAAGTAAGTTTGCACAATGAACAACCGGTAAAGAGCTCAATCTTGTCAAAGAAGAGAAGCTTGAATACCCTGTTGAAGCAAGAGTCAGCTGCTACAAGAGAAATGACTAATCCAGAAGCATGTTAAACCAGAGATTCTGTCAAAAGAAATTATCTTGAGACTTCACAGTCTGAGTGCCATTCAAGGAAGAAGTTAGCAAGAGCCAGCCAATCTAGGGCAATCAAGTCGGGAGTCGATCTCTCCAAGTTCATCCAAATCTGGGGCATTCCCTCAAAGTTGTCAATTAGAGGCAATCAAGTCAAGGGTCAATCTCTTCAAGTCGTCAATCAGAGGCTATCACGTTGATAAATCTCTTCAAGCTCGATCAATCAGTGGTTATCACATTGAGGAATC